GTTGAAAGCGATCTGGAAAAGCGTGACAGAGAGAGGAGATACTTGCGGAATGCCATTCTTTAGCGGAAAGGAATCAGAAAGATAATTATTGATTCTAACTTTGAACCGCCGATGCGACATGAATGATTTGATGTAGTTGAAGAACTTGGGTCCAACATTCCATGATTTCAAGAGTCTTAAGATAACATGAAGACAAACTCTGTCAAATGCTTTTTCGAAATCAATTGAGAGAATTGTTACGTGATTTCGTTCGGAAATTGCTTTGCTTGTGAAATAATCAATATGTAACAGAGCGTCGATGCATCCTCTACCCCGCTTGAAACCAACTTGTTGCTTTGTTATCAGGTTCTTGGATTCAAGAAACCAAGATAATCTAGATGCCATAATCTTCTCTAATACCTTAGAGAGGCAAGGTAAAAGAGAAATTGGGCGATAATCTGATGCGATGGAGACATTTTTTGACTTTGGAATTGGAACGACTGTTGCCAGTTTCCACATGTAGGGTATATGGCCAGTCATAAATACCGTATTATATAGGTCCAGTAATTTCTTTTTACTAGACTTAGACATAGCACTGATCATTTGGTATGAGATGCGGTCTAGACCAGGTGTCTTCCCCTTCAAATTGAAGAAACAACTTCCAAGTTCTGAGGTAGGTACGCAATTTTCCAGGAACATGGCACATCTATCGATATTATTTGGAAGAGATATTGGAGTTCTTTTATTTTCAATGAAAGCACTGTAGAAGTTGCTGTCAGAGGAGTATTCGCACCACACTTTTCCAAAGTAATTAGAAATCTCATCTGCGTCAGTTAAAGTTCCATTGGGAGTGCAGATGGCAGAAATTTCGTTCAGGTTTGAAGTCCCATTAAGTCTGTTGATTTTGTTCCAGACAACTTTCATTGATGTATTTCTGTAAATTCGTCTCGAGAAAAGTTCGAAACTAAGTGCCTTTGATTTCCGTAATTCCTTCCTGAATAGAGCATTGGCCTTTTTGTATAATAACAAGTGATTCTGATCAGGACATCTCTTAAAGCGGTGCCATAGTTCCATTTTATTTTTCCTCAAAAACGAAAGCGTGTTGTTCCACCAAGGAACCCTAGCTCGTTTAAAAGAGGTGTTGGATTGAGGAATAGAAAGATGAGCAGCCGTGCGAATCGCTTTAGACATAATAGCAGCATCATGGTTGCAGTTCCCGTTAAATGGCTTTGAATTCAAAAATGACTCCACCTGTTTGGAGTAATTGATCCAATCCGCTTTATCTAGGAGGAATTTGGCCTGTTTTGCTGGAGTAGCAGAGGACGTTGAAAGTTTAAGATCGATTATGATTGGAAAGTGATCACTATTATGTAGATCATCAGAAATAGACCAGGACACCAAAGGAAGAAGTGATGGAGAGCAACATGTTAAATCAATTTGTGAAAAAGTACGATGAGTTGAGAAGTGCGTTGGTTTTCCATCATTTAAAACGCAAAGGTTGCTTTGAAAAAAGGCCTTTTCTAAAACAGTACCGCGAGTGTTGTTCACTGTTGAGCCCCAGATGGTATTCCAGCTGTTGAAATCGCCGCATATAATTAATGGGGGGGAAAGTACGGAGAATAAACTGTAGAGTTCTTGCTGAGAAAACGATTGCGAAGGTGGAATATAGAGCGAAAGCACTGTAAATTTTATATTTAACATTATTTGTATCGCTACGGCTTGTATATTTGAGCTTAAATTTATGCGTTTGTGAGGTATACTTGATTTTATAAAAACACCTACTCCTTGTTTGGAATATGAATTTTGATCAGCATTCGTGAAGTATCCAGTATATGATTTGGGTGGAATAGGATTAAAAGAGCTTCTACAATGGGTTTCTTGAAGCGATAAAAAGGTTGGATTAAAATCATTTATGAGTGTACGGAGTTCATCAAAATATTAATAAGTCCCTTAATGTTCCATTGTAGAATTTTAAAAACTTTATTTAATTGTAATGACATGTAAGCAGAGTGGACGGAGGGTTAAGTTGACATGTCAGCGTCTCCGTCGAGAAGGTCACTATAGGAATTTTTCGTGAATGATTTATTCTTACCAGCAGAATAATCTGTATTTAGGTGATTTGGTACATTTGAAGCGCAACGGGTTGGCGCACGTAAATAATTTGAAATTGAAGATTGATTAATGGATGAAAGAATCGATTCATTACACTTGTGTTTTGTTGAGTAAAGTTGAGAGCTGGAGATTCTGGAGAATTTGGTTTATTAGATTTTAGCATATGTGTTGTTGTTTTAATTTTTTCAATATTTGCAGTTGCTTTGGTTTTTTCTATATTATCTTTGACGGGTGATGTAACTGGTTTCGCAATATAATTTTTGGTTAATGGTGGAACAGGTTTTTCATTGGAAGCAGTTGGAGTTAAAGTCTTACTAGGCTCGATTTGCGAGGCAACAGCAGCGTAGGTATTACTTTTGCCAATTCCATGGGCTACAGATGGATTTCTATCCCGGCATGTGCGTCGCGCTTCGCCCATGCTACAGTAATTTTCTGTTTTGATATTTAGTATTTCACGCATCTGTACAAAACATGGGCATTGTTTGTCTAACGCTGAGTGTTGATCATTGCAATTTATGCAGAAACTACGGGTACAGCTTTCAATATGTGGAGGATGACCACAGTTAGCACAAGATGCAGCACTAGTGCATCTTTTTGCCGTATGACTCAGGCGTTGGCAATTTTTACACCTCATGTATAGTTCTACTTTACATTTATACCACGCCACATCAACTGTTCGCGGTAATCGATAGCGATTAAAATTTAAAATAATCCTTCCTGTAGGAGAGCGTGTTTTTCCGTCATCATTCAGTTTGGTAAATTTATATACTTCAGTCACTCCTTGATTGCCCATTTCGCGGACAATTTCATCTTCCGGCACATGGTTTAAGCAAGGGACATAAATTACGCCTCGAACCGAGTTAAGTTTCTCATGTAGTTTAGCTGAAATAGCACATAGATTAGCTAAAGAATTGGCCTTTATTAGTTTTTCGGTTGCGCGCGGGTTCCCAGCGAGGACCAGTAAATTCCCATCGCGTAGAATCGAGATCGAGTCGATGTATGTTGTAATGCTACATAGAGCTTTTTTTATAGCAAAAGGGCTAATTTGGGAAATTGTTATTCGAGCATCGGTTGAAGAAATAACAATATATTTTTTATCAATAGGGATTATATCGCTGATCGGCAACACCGGAAAATCTGATTTTTTACTTTTTTTTCTTTGGGGGGATGTATCACTTAATAGATAAAATCTATTCGGGTTTTTGTCTGGCGGCCCCGGGGCCATTATGCCTTATTGTTGTCTATTTATTATTATTTTTGAAATAACCACTTACTTGAAAAGGTTTGGGAACTGTGCAAGAAGGTTGGGAACTACTAAAGAAAAGTGTCAAATGTTTTCAATTTTTTTTTTTTTTTTATTTTGTTTTTTTGTTTTCTATTTTTTATTATATATAGACGAAACAAAAGCACATACGCGATATCCGCGTTAACCAGTTTTAGCAATAACACTGAAAAGACAGAAGTTAAATACACAAAAACACCGAAAACATCGAAACAATTGAAAAAACGCAGACAAATAGAAAACACGCACTACACTGAACACAAGTCGACTCGTCAACATGTTCGTGTCATTATAAATGCGCTCACCATTCAATTATTCATCGAAATGTACAACAAAGTAAATTTTACAATTTTACTTTTAATTTTCAAATTCAAAATGAAAATAAAAGAATTTCAAGCATTATAACACACACAACGGCATATCATTGGTATATTTTTTTATATTGCTGTGGAGGCTACGGATTCAAGAAAAAACATCGGAAAATGTGACTATTATTATATGTTTAAAAAAAAAAAATGAAGTCTACTTTTAGGATTATTCTTTATATGAAATCTTTCTATTCAAAAATAATTAGAGTAGTTATGACTTACCCGTCACACGATTACAATTGCAAAAGATAGGCAACAGATCACAATGAACTAATTGTAAGAATTGTAAGAAAAGAATACCTATTTCAAACTTAATACTGGAAAAGAATACTTATTTCGAACTTAATACTGGAAAAGAATACTTATTTGTTTGCCTTTTCCAATTTAATTCCCGCGCAGATGAAAAGTAAAAAAATTTGTCTCGTAATTCCAATAGACAGAGAGAAACGCAAGCTTAAACAAACGTTTATTATATGTATATTTTCTAACAGAGTAACTAGGCTCATTGTGAAATTTAACGCCGATCTACTTGTTTTTAGGAGTAGGAGATGGGCAGACAGATAAACAGACATTGCCTAAATTGATTCGGAATTTGATATTGATGAAGAATGTATATATTTTTATAGAATCGCTGAAGCTTCCTTTTCGCTGCTCCAAGCATTTTAACATAATTAACTTAATCGACCCTTTGATGATGAGCATAAAAATATGACACCTTTTTCATGTTACTGATCGGAGAAGACCGGCATTATTGTAATCATTATATAATTTGAATAGACCCTACAGAGGTTGAAGTGACTTATAATTTGTGTTGAGGATGTGAAAATCCATTAGACCAAGTAGAAAAGGCGAACTCCCATAGCCTTTCACTTACGTTTATCTTTCACCATTTTAGAGACAAAGCTCTAGCTCTAGCTAGCCGATAGCCCTAGATGCTAGTGCTTTAAGACTTTAGTCTTAGAATTTATTCTCTGGCTAAATTTATAATAATAATAATAATAATAATAGAGACAAAGCTAACCCCCAAAGACTTTGTAAAGATGCTAGGTCAATAAATCTAAAGTTGTGCTCATGTAAGGGCACATGACTTCACACATTCTATTATCTAAGCGACGAACAAAGGCGTATGACTTTAAATATTTTTTCTTTAAAAACAAAAAGTTTAGAAATTTTATACAACTTAAGTACAATTACCAAATGGTTTGTTTAAAAGTTTATTTTGTGTAAGAGAGTTTGATTTAGGTCTGATTTTTTTGCAGATATTTCTGACAATGGCTGAGTTAACACCTGTCCAGGACTTTTACAAGGATAAAACGGTCTTCATCACCGGTGCTTCTGGTTTTATGGGCAAAGTGCTACTGGAGAAATTATTGTATTCATGTGTTGCTCTGAAAGAGATCATTATAATCATACGACCGAAACGGGGGAAAACGCCAGAAACTCGTCTCGAAGAGATGTTTAAATTACCGGTAAATTTCTTAGCATTTTCAAAACAAGTACTGAATCTATATACAAGAAATACGCTTTGCATCAATTTCGCAGATTTTTCAACGCATTAAAGAGGAACGACCAAATGTTTTAAAAAAAGTGAGCATTTATCAGGGCGATGTGACATTTGAATCATTGGGCTTAAGTGGTGAAAATCTTAAGTATATTGTCGATAAAACTAATATTGTTTTTCATTTGGCTGCTACCCTTAAATTGGAAGGCAATTTAAAGGATGCGATCGATATGAATCTATCAGGCACTCGTCGCACTTTAAATTTAGCAAAACAAATGAGAAATTTGGAAGCCTTTGTGCACGTGTCAACCGCATTTTGTAATTGCGATCAAGAAGTTATGTACGAGAAAATTTATGATTTCCCACATAAGCCGGAAGATTTGATGCGTTTGGCCGAATGGATGGATGTGAAGACGTTAGATGCGATAACACCAGATTTACTAAAACCACATCCGAATACTTACACGTATTCGAAACGTTTAGCTGAGTTATTAGTACGCGATCATTATGATCGCTTGCCGGTAATCATAGCTCGTCCGAGTATCGGTAAGTGTTTATGTCCAAAAATATTTCATACGCATACCAAAATTTATGAGACAAACAGGGCAAAATGTCTCCAAACTATAATCACCAGATGATAAGCAAAAAAAAGAAAAAATTTCTCGCTTGCTTTGGTGTTTTTGTATGCGGCGGTTAGTTGACGCTGTGAAGAAAAAAATAAGCAGAACACCGAATATATACATTAGCGACTCCTTTTCCAATTTAACCCTTGTGGTATATGTGAACACTTTATTGAAGGACTCTATGCAAAAATTAGTTTTTTTTTAAGGATTTCTAAGGAAAACAAATGGATCAAAACAAAATGATTAAAATTCATTGCTTTGTGTATTTTACTCCCACCCCATTGGTAGAGGTTATGAATTCGTAGTATTAATATAAAATAATAATTTAAGAAAGGCTGGAAATTCTTGACCTCGTTTTTTTTGTGTTTTTTTTTTTTTTTGTATATTCATGCCCACCACCACCCGAGAATTGCGAGTTCTTTTTTTCCTTCTGCTATATACAATGAAAGGAAGTCAGTCATAAGGACATTAGACATCTCATTTTAGCTGTCCGTCCAAGTCGCGTATTTCCTGGTGAGCATTTCATATGATCAAAATTTGCTGCACTCGTATACAGATCAGTAGGGCGAGAGTATAGAGTAACATAACTTTCGCAAAGGAGAATTTTTTACTTTATAAATGTTGGTCCTGCGGGCCTAAGCCCGTAAAACAATTAAAAATACTATGGTGCTACACGTCCCCACCTTTAAATATCTTGCGTCACTTCGCTCAATACAGTTATTCATAGAATGACTGTTAAAAGTAAGGTGTTATATGGGAAGAGCTTGGAAAAGCAGTCCGATCCGAATCATCTTCATCATCTTCAGCAGTACTCGTCGTTAGGCCAAAGCACGTCAATGTAATAAGACAGATGGACAGACAAGCATAGATCGGTTCAGAAAGTATTTCTAAATCGATCGGTAAAATGAGAGGTGGCTCTATTTCAAGTCCTTCTGCATGTTGCGTACATCTGCAAAAACTTAATATACCCTTGCACCACAAGTGGTGTAGGGTACAAAAAAAAGAAAAAAAACTTTTATAAATATTTTGCTAAGTATGCAATTTACTAACATTTGCTTGATCTTTATACATTTAAATAAAGCGCTGGGTATCCAAGATTCGTCTTAAAGACGAATGCAGCTTTCTTCCCCGATTTACTTTCTTGTAAAACAGTTTTTTTTTCTTGCTTAAAATCCTTTTAAATGCTTTTGGAAACCTCCTGGCGTCTTACAACCCACTATGTTCCGCACACTTTTTGCACGCCTTGTGAATTTATTTTTATAAACAAAAAAAAAAAAAAAAAAAAAGAAAGAAAACATAAACGAGAAATAAAAAATAAAGAAAATCTAAAAACTTCCCCGCAAGTGTTTTAAGTGCTTTTCATGTTAAATATAACAACGGCGACAGTGTTGCAATGTTTGTTTCAATATAAGTGATCAATTAATTATATATAAATGATTTGCTTTTTCAATGACTCTGAATGTTCACATTATCAACATTTATTAAGTGCTTTACATTCTGTTAATTGCTGGTTAATTGGTTTAAAAACAAAAAAAAAATAATAATAATAATAAAAATAAAGACAACAAATACAAAACAGCTTCTGTGAATAACCTGACTGGAATGCTGGCTTAAAAGAACAATTTTCCAACTGAATGCAACACCATTGAACTCAGCATGTGGCTCAAAAGCTGAAAACAACAGTCCGCCCGCCAAACTGTTTCCTAGTTTTCTTCCTACTTGGCTGTAAATAATAAAACGGTAAAACTTTTTTTTTTGGTCTTTGTTAGCACAAAATATATAAAGAAACGCAGCAGAACGCGACCGTTAATCAATTAATGTTCGAGTAGAGGAACCATTATTTCCGATTGGTGCATGAACGTAGGTACAGTGAAGGCTCAAACGCTAAAAGCACAACACTTTAGTTAAAGGCTAACTAAAGTCCTTTGATAGACTTCTCGGCTAGTCTCGCTTGTATGTCAGCATTAAAGTCATTTAAATTCATTTTTTCTCAATTTGCTTTTGCAAGCGCCTCGGATATGCGCTGACTCGTAACATGAAGATACCGTCTTCGAATTTCTTTTTTGATTTCAATTTTTTATTTCGTTAGTATTATTTGTCCCGACTTGTACAATTTCGCAGCAACAAAACACAAACAGTTCCGTTACTAAATTAAAAGGGGAGGGGGGCCACTGTGACAGCCCAAAAAAAAGTCTTCTTTTGTTATTTGTAAGAGAAGCGAAACCGTTAGCGAAAGTGTTAGAAAAAACATTTTTTTTTTTTCAAAAGGCAATACACAGCGTAGCCCAGTTGTCAATCACTCTTTGAATATGGAAAAAAAATTCATTTAATGTTCGGGCTTATAATTACGGAAATACGTAGCATTTTTTAGAAATATTGACTTTTATGTGATTGGTAAGAACTGGAAGGAACGAACTTGTTTCCCACTAAAGAAAGCAAATTCTTTCGTTAACAAACAAACAATATATGTATTTCCTTATCGAAATGCAGCAGAGAATATCATTTGAATTCTTAAATGCGTGATTTCTTGTCTTGAATTTTAAAAAATTGTTTCTTATACGAAATCATATAATAATATGAAGCATTTATTTTGAAAAATATGGTATGCAGAAGACTTTTCGCAACAATACTTGTTTGTAACTAAAATTATTGGAGACATAGACAAGCGGTAGCTAATGGATTTTTCCGCTTACATTCTATAAGATCTAAAGTAGCCTAGTTTCTCCGCAACGGGCATTTCCTTAACCTTGTTGGTGTATGCTGAGGATAGCGCGCCGGGTTTGTCTGGCATTTAAAATTTGCTTGAAATAGTATGTAACTTACTCTGATATCTTTTCTTAACCCGAGAAATTATCAAAAGCCGTGTATTCCCATTATAAATTTGTACGTAACCCTAACCTCTGTTAAATTCAAAATCGCTTTTATTAACTGAAGAAAACCTAAGATATGTTTGTTAAATATATAGATCCTAATAACCCACGCAACTCTAATGTTCACTAAATTAGTGAATCTAGCTAGAGAATAACGTGGTGTTCCCTTAAATTTTATCCTGTCCCTAGCTAGATCATTCGTCCTCCAGTCTAACGTCTCAGCTTCACAATTAAGTCTTGTCGTCTGCAATTCGTCCCTGCTCTAAACGGCACCACGCATTTATGGGCTGCACGCATATTTACGGATTATCAAATTTACGTCTATCCAGAGAAAGAGAAAGATGAAATACCCTTGAAATTTCCTCTAAAGCTCTCCGTCACGATCGGCTGATATGCTTTTCGGATGTGATAACCACCCTGACTTCCGGTAGGTTTATAATTAATCTAGTAATTTACTAAAATATATATAAGCATATTTACAAAGAGTAAGAGAGTACATAAATTGATATATGTATAAAGATGGAGTAATACATATGTGTGAAATGATATAATACAAAATTATATAAAAAATTAAATTAAATATAATAAATAAAATATACATTATTAGTCTATGAGACTAATTTTAACAGTGTAATCTATATCTGTATAGAGATAATGTTATGTAAAAGCTAATACCAACAAGGAGATTATGGATTAAGTGAATTATGATGAAATTATCTGTTCTACGTGTATTCGTTTTTATATGGATAGAGTATATTATTTTTAATGTCATTTTTATAACTACTTTCTGACGTTCTGTACAGCGATGTGGACGAGGCTACATGGAACCAGGTAGCACAATCATAATTGATGATTGGACGAATTAAGCTCTGATGCATTATCACTTTTACTTTTTGAAAAATATGTATGGATTGAAATATGCTTTAGAGGTCTTTCCGATCGCTCCTAGAATATAGAAATTGCAATACAAAAAGTTTTACAAGTGAACACCTCAATATTTAACTTCAGTTTTTGAATATTTATTCACATTATTTAGATTTAATTTTATTTCGAACAATTTCCATTTTTTTCCAACATCGGCGTCGATATTCTTCCGAAAGGAATATCGAGAAATTTGATTGGGCAAAAAGTGAAAAGCAATTCTTTATTAGATCAACAACCTGTTTAAAATATTTTTTTGGATGTCAAGTTGAACGTTTTAAAATATCTTTGGAAAGTTTGGTAAAGAAAAATGCATCATTTTTCATAGATCGTTAAAATCTATTGTCCCTCAACAACTTTGGTTTTAAAGAAAACTAAAAAGTCAAAAACGGGAAAATAAATGCTGTAGGAAAGTCGGATAAAAAAAATTTGTTGTTTTTGCGACTACTTTATATTTTGTGTTAACAAAAACTTGCAAACATATCCCAAAAGCTAAGCTTATGCCATGGGCTGTGTGTCCCTTATGGTTTGATTGGTGTTCATATTTAAAAAAAGACAAAAAACTTGCGTAGAAATCAATTTTATCTATATATATATACACATATACGGATCAGTGTCCCCATCGGCTTATGAGCCCGTTCCCGGTTGGGTAGACAATTTGAATGGTCCTACAGGGCTTATGGTTGGAGCTGGAAAAGGCGTTATCCGCTCCATGTTAATTGATGAACGCTACAAATCTGAGGTGATACCCGTTGACTATGCCATTAATGGTCTTGTAGTAATCCCTTACGAATTTCAAGCGGAATCACGGTAAGTATTGTTAAAATGATTATGACGAAATCACCAAAACATTTCAATGATTTTTCTTTATGAAGATCAAAAGAGGTACCGGTTTACAATATCACGTGCGCGGAACACCGTAAGGTTTTATGGGGAGAAGTGATTGCTTTAAGCAAGAAAATCGGTTACCAATATCCAATGGAAACTGGTCTTTGGTATCCCGACGGATGCGTCACTACGAACAGATTACATCATCAAATTAATATTTTATTATTTCATTGGTTGCCCGCTTATGTTATTGATTTTATACTTTTCCTTTGCGGGCAGAAAAGATTGTAAGTAGAATTTTCCTAAGTTCGTAACGGTTGTAAGACGATTTATTCATTAGCATGATTCGTATACAAAACCGAGTACAAATCGGTCTAAATGTTTTGCAATTCTTTACAATGAGATCCTGGGTTTTTCGATCACCTAATTATGAAGCTTTATGGCAAAAACTTAGTGAGAAAGATAAGCAAATGTAAATAACTTTGAAAAAAAATGATACGAAGTATTAACCCGAAAGAAATTTGCTTATGTGTTTGTAACTAGATTTAATATGAACATGAATACCGAAGAAGGTAACGAAGAGTATATGTTATCCTGTATACAGGGTGGTCGCCAGTATTTAATGAAAGAATCGCCAGATACTTTGCCCAAAGCTCGAAGGCAATTAAAATTGTGAGTTAGTCTCATAAAGAGCAAAATATTTTACCAAAACAAAAACGATTTTTATGTTCTCCATTTCAGCATGTATTACCTGGATCGCATCTGTAAAATTATAATATTAAGTTTGTTATGCTATTGGACTTATAATTTAATAAGCCTTATACTAGGCTATTGAAAATTTAATAGTTTTTATTTTTATAATTTTTTTCTCTTTCTCAATAGCATTTTTGGTGTTTCCTTGCTGGAAAGGTTTATCGTGCTTTGCTTAATAAAAGTTTTATGAAAATATATATAAGAGTTTTCTTTTTTATAACCATCAACAAGAAATGGGGGGAATGTTTGCGAAATTCAGAAGGAAGTGTCAAAGACCTTATATATATATATATTTGCTCAGTCATGTCTGTCCGTCCGTCCTTCTATTCGTTTGCCTGTCTCCGTAGATGTGCGCGGTGAATATTATCATGCCCGCAAAGAATCGCGCAACGGCTTTGAATTTGTTAACAGCATTGGAAGCAATTGCACCCAGATTGGTATTAAAAACGACACAAATCGTTAATCGGTACGCTTAGACTGCACCATAAGCTGGGAGTATCTCTATATTTAAAAGCAAAAACTAATTTTTTGTTTTTTTTCATTAACTTGTCATAAGTTAGAAGAGATGCAACCGAAAAATTTTCCCCAGTGCTGTAAATGTTATTGTACAGCAAAGCTACAAAACGCCGGTCAAGCTCATCGAGTATTATGAAGTATCAGAATTTCATTACTTTTTTAGGTATAAAAGATTCAGCTATAGCCGAATATAATTTTCTTAAGCGTTTGATATACATTTCCTTCCCTCAAGATGCTATTCTCTCTATCTGTTCTTAAAGTCCTATTCTGAGCAAAATCACAGAGATGTCGCAAGTCATAAGGCACTTTTTACTTGTCGTTTTGGTGACTTAAAAAACTTGATTCATAACTTAGTTGATATTGAGGAGTTTTATTGTAACTATTCCTTCCGGATAATTGGGTGAATGTTAAGTGAACTTTCCTGTGCTTTTCGCATGCGTGGAGGAGATAGTGACATTAGTTTGAATAGCGTAATAACTGTTTTGTAATATGAAAGGAGGATCTTATGCGAGTACTCGGCTTCTTATAAGTGTTTGTTATAAAATTTTAAAATAGTTTAGGAATAACATACATATTCATATAAACCTTTTTAAATATGTGTACAAATATTTACATACATTTTTCTTTGTATTGAATCTTTTTGTTTTAATTTCTTCTTTAATTATTTAATAGTAACGCCAGCCCTTCAGGAACCGTTGCCCGGTTGGGTAGATAATATGAATGGTCCAACGGGTGTCTTAATTGGAGCCGGTAAAGGTGTTATACGTTCCATGTTATGTAATGGTGCTTTGAAATCGGAAATCATACCAGTTGATACAGCCGTCAATGCTTTGGTTTTATTGCCATTTTATTTTAATAATATTAAAGAAAAGTAACATTTTGTGTCAATATTTTACTTACAATTACGAATTACTTACACTTGCATTTAAATTTTTGTATTTTCAAATTCGTAGACCGGCTCAGCTGCCAGTTTTTAATATAACTATACCCGAAGTAAAAAAACGCACTTGGCAATGGATTATGGACAAGGGCAAAGATTTCGGTATGGAATACCCTTTCGAAGTCGGCTTATGGTATCCAGATGGAAACATAACTACGAATAAATTTTATCATTGGATTTGTGTTATCTTATTTATGTGGCTTCCGGCCGTTTTAATCGATTGTCTGTTATTTATTTTTGGTCAAAGAAGATTGTAAGAATATTACTATTTTACGCAGGGTGCGGGCTGCGAAGTTTTGCTATTGTTGTTATGAATTTTATTGGGCATAAATTCCACTATGGATGAACTAGCAAACTTAGCGTGCTTTCCTAAAATTTTATTACTTTTCAGTTTCCGTAGTAAACAACTAGGAATTTGACTTTCTTTTCACCTAAGGGCTTACTTTTAATAATAGCTCCTATATTACTGTTTAGAGACTAAACAATAGACCTGTGCTATCCAAATTTGCCATCGTTAGGTTTTGCGGTAACTGCTACTATGGACCAATTTTCATCGTAAAACATTAAAAGTTAAACCATCTTCTAAGGAGCGTACTATCCATGAGCAATCTCATATGGAGTGAAGAAGCCAGAAATAGACCTGTGTCGTTCAATTTTTTTTTTTCACTTAATTTTTATCGCAAATTACTGTCATGAACGAGTTTTCATTATAAAACATTAACAATTAGGCCTTTTTAGCATATAGAGGTTCAGTCGAAGTACTACGAGTCAGTCAGTTTTGTCGACAAATTTCGAAAATTGCAATTTTTTTGTCATATAACGACTTTATAGCATAAGGGGTTACATGGAAAGTGTTCGAAAAAAGGACTGAAAACGCGTCAGAGTACTGAGTTTCATCAATATATCTCAAATTCAGTGTTTGAATCGATGTAACCTTGTCTGTCTGTCAGTCCGTTAGTCCACCTTGTTTTCTCTTTTTCAATCTACAGGTCGCAATGTTTGAGAACCTTTCATGATATTTGATAGATCGACATGTTTGGCCTAAGAACAAAGGCTATTGACAATTGTTCGAAACTTACCACTTTTTCGATAACTTCCTATACAAGGCCTTATGTTGAAAAGTCATTATATGTATATCTGTACGGTGGTGTAGAATATTTAATAGAAGGTCGTGGCCCACTATAATGTTTCTATTTGTTTTTGATAATAAATTTCTCGCAGGAATATCTTACAACGGCACAAAAATAAAGTGTTAAAACTAAGATCGCGATTTGATAACTGTAGTGAATCTTTTCGGCAAGCGCCCTGCATCGATGTTTCTAAAGAGTGCAAAAAGTAAAATAAATTTTTATTTCTCTTTTATTTTGGTCAGCATGATTCGTGTTCAAAAACGTATAGCAATCGGCTTAGAAGTTTTACAATTCTTTACAACTCGGTCATGGGATTTTAAATCGAATAATTTTCGGGAGCTCGAAAAGCCGTTAGATTCTGAAGACCGAAAGATATTCCGTATCAATATCGATGATGCTGATGATGAGCAATATTTGCTTAACGGTATATTGGGAGGTCGCCAGTATGTTATGAAAGAACCGTTGTGTACGTTGCCACGTGCGCGAACGCACTTAAAATTGTAAGTTATTTTTTTTTACTATTATCTTTTATTTATATACAACGGCCTTAATATTCTCTCCACTTCTCTTTTTTCAGTATGTTCGCCTTAGATCGTTTGTGTAAAACGCTAATCTTTGTTTCGTTTCTTTATTGGCTTTCGCTTAAATCAGGAATTCTAAGTTTCTTAAAGGACATTTTGGAATATTAAAATTGTCACTTTTGGGATTTTGTTATTTTTTTTATGTTGTTTTCTGCAGCAATAATAGTTTTATATGCCTTTCAGGTGTATATACGTGTATACTTATTGTTAATTAAAATTTGCAATTGTTATTTTGTTAGATGTGTAAGGTGAATGGATTTATGATATTAGCCAATTTCCACATAATTTTCGTTAAGCCAAAAGGAACGAAATGTGTTCACTTTTAAAGCGATTTTTTTCTTTTCTTATGTTTATTTTAATCAAATAAAGTTTTTTAAGAAAAGTTTAAATTAATAAAATTTATTCAAATTCAAATAATTCTTGTACTCATCAAAACTGTCGACTTGTGTTCTGTGTACTGCATGCTTTCTTTTTCGTCTGCGATATTTTTAATTGTCTTCGGTGTTTTTGTGTATTTAGCTTGTGTCTTTATGACCTTTGATCGCTACAGGCTACCGTAAACTGTTGATGTGGCTTAGCATAAATGTCAAGTGGAACTCTACATTCCAAATCACATGAGGTGCAAAAACTGCCAACACCTGGGTCATACGGCAAAAAGGTGCACAGTGCTCCATCTTGTGCAAACTGTGGCCTTCCTACACATGCTGAAAGCTGTACCCGTAGTTTCTGCTTAAATTGCAACGATCGACACTCGGCGTTAAACAAACAATGCCCACGTTTTATACAAATGCGTGATATTCAAAAAATCACAAATGAAAATTACTGTAGCTTGGGCGAAGCGCAACACAAGTACCGGAAAATAAATCCATCTGGAACCCAAAGAATTAACAAAAATAATATATACGTTGCTGTCGCCTCGCAAATCGAGCCTAACAAGCCTTTAACTCCAACTCCTTCCAACGAAAAACCATCTTCTACCATCAACCAAAAATCATATTGTGAAACTAGTTCCACCAGCCGCCAAAGATAATATTGAAAAAATCAAAACAAATATTGAAATAAGCAAAATTGATAAAATTAAAACAACAACACGTATCATAAACTCTAATAAACTAAATTCTCTCTTCTCTTGGTGTTTTTATACAATCAAATATACCTCACAAGTACATAAATTTAAGCTCATGCATATAAGCCGTAGCGACACGAATAACCTTAACCATAAAATTTACAGTGTTTTCGCTTTATAGCCCATATTCGCAATCGTTTTCTTAGCTGGAACTCTACAATTTATTCTCAGTTCTTTACTTTGGAAAGGTGTGGTGCGAATACTCCTCTGACAGCAACTTTTCCATTGCTTTCATTCTAAATAAAAGGACTCCAATTTCACTTTCAAATGCTATCGACAGATGCGCCATGTCCCTGGAAAGTTCTATATCTACCTTAGAATTTGAAAGTTGTCACTCCAAATCGAAGGGGTGGACACCTGGTCTAGACCGCACCTCCTACCAAATGATCAGTGCTCTAATTCAAGTAAAAAGAAATCACTGGACCTATATAATACGGTATTTTTGACTGGCCATATACACTACATGTGGAAATTGGCAGCAGTTGTCCCAATTCCAAAGTCAAAAAATGTCTCTCATCGCATCGAATTATCGCCCAATCTCGGTTTTATCTTGCCTCTCAAAAGCATTAGAGAAGATTATGGCATCTAGATTATCTATCGCATATTAACACTATTGCTTATCTTACCAAAAAGCTTGTTTTAAGCAAAATTGACTATGCTTTGATAATTTATGGCAATAGCTGTAAAGCTCAGAGCAAGTTATTATGCTTTTCGGACGACGCCCATAAATAATATTATAATCGAAACTGATCTCCCAACTTTAGGAAATAGATTTTATGAGTTAAAAGCTAAAATAGTCCCCAAGCTTCTTAATTCAAACAAATCTATTCTCGGTGATGACGTGAGAAAGATTATTATTGCGAAGAAAATTCCAAAGTCACCATCTGCAATTGACTATTGTTTGTACGTTGCAAAGGAATTGAATATTCCCTTAAAAATTTTGCGCTCTTTTGGTGTTAAACCTCCATGGATTTTGAAAGAATGCTCTTTTGACATCTTGCCGTCTATGCACAAGAAAGAAGATACCCCAAATTACGTCTTCAGGAATCTAACAGCTGAAAAGACCCAAGTACTGGAGAGTACCGGTTGTAATCTTTTATACACGGTTCAAAACCTTCCGGTCCACCTCCTGCTTGTGCCGTGGCAGATACTTCAGGGCACGAAAGCACTTCAACTTTCACAACCGAAGCCAGAGCTGCCTATCACGCTGCGAGCCTTTCCCATAAAAACAAACTCAAAACCGTCATTGTTACCGACAGTTTGTCTGTATTACAACTGGTTCGGAACCCTTCGACTTCGGGATGGATCACCATCGACAAATTAAGGAATATTATTACAACACCCGGCGGAAAAATTAAAATGTTATGGGTACCTAGTCATATCGGTTTACTGGGAAATGAGCAGGCCGATCGAGCGGCGAACTATGCTGCTTCTGCACCTCTAATTATGGATTATGTCATGGAAAAGTTGGATCTTCGAAGATACTTCGGAAGAAAAGTTAAAGAGAAAATTACAGAAGGAAATCTACAATACCATCATCAGCGCTACTCTGCAGTTGTCGACAAATTCTCACTGTAAAGCACATTCTCTGTGACTGGCTTAACTTTTCTTTGGCTACAAGTATTGTATTTGAAACGATTAACCCTTTGGAGATTCTAAAATCGGCTTTGGAACAGAATATCAATTCAATATATTAATTTATTAAAACAACTAGGCTCAATCTCTAATGTACATTTATATAAATTAGAGTCGATAGCCTGTGTTGCTAGTGCTCAATGTCTTTTCTTTTAGTCTGAGAATTTATTTCATTAGTGTAAAATTATAATAATAATAATAATAATAATTTCTAAATCGGGTCTATGGTAAGTATTACAGAATTGGGAAAATAAGGTCCCAGGCTGGTAGTATGTGCATTTGTGCTGAGCTTCTGAAAGGAAAATGAAAGGCTTTGACATCGTCATTTGCCGAGGTCTCTATACGCTGTTTCATAGATAGAAGCTTCAACTGAACCCATAAAAAAAGGACCGCTTGCAGCAGCTCAAAACTCCTTATCGAGTGATCTATGCATGGTATAAAACGAAAGTCATTGCATATAATACTGTGTTTAAAAAATAAAGCGAATTCTTCTTGCAAACGAGCTTCTCAAGTATCAGTCGAAACTCTTTTTCTCTTAGTGCGATTCAATTATTATTTCATGTATAGGAATTTCCTTTATTTTTTGACCATAGAAAATTGTTCGATTTTTTTTTTTATTTAGCTAACCGCTTAGGAGATGTGCCCTGCGCATATATCTATGATTTTGGTCAGGAGGGAGGGCAGCTAAAGGGAACAAGGGAGCGGACATAATTTTTGCTTACATTCGATTTGAAAGTGATAACACTAGAAGCAGAGGAAAAACCAGATACAGCTAGATTGTTCTAAAGGAGAGCAGGACGCTCAAATAAAGAAGAAGAGTCGTGATAATGCATTGTGCTGTAGACCGCCGGACAATGAACTTAGGAAAGCCGAGTGTTCCTGTGAACGGGAAACAAATTTCTTGTACCTCAGTAGAGTACGCTTTTGTATCACATAAATTAGGATTTAAAAATGGCTCCTACTAGCTTAATGTTGAAGACTCTGTTCATCTAATGATATATGAGCATATTTTTAAAAAAGTCATATATAGATGTTTATGCAAAATCAATATTCAGATTAGAATTCATTTCACTAAAAACTAAAATTGCTTTACTCGTCATATGGGCACTTGTATACATATTAGAGGCGTTATTTCTGTCTTTTGCTACCAGTTGAGTAGTTAGTGTGTATAGAATTTACAAAATATGATAAGACACAATACGATAGTTGGAAAAGACCATGGTAATCGTATAAATAAACATATGTTTATTTTTTACATTTTCCTCTCCGTCATTAATATACAATAAGGAGAGAAGATTCCACGGTACACGACGATATAGTGACGATAGTTACTACAACAAAGTCAGACATAATAATGACGCATAAGTTAACAATAAATAGAACATTAACCACATATGTCTCGAAGCCAATCGTTTTTGACGCACTGAAACGGACTTAAAGAAACATAAATAAATTTCGTGTAAACCTCGAACGTTTTTTTTAAATAATTTTTGCTCAAATGTTTCTCGATAAAAACATGTGGGGTACAATTAGGTCATTAATAATTAAGATAACATAAATTGTTTGTAATTTTTCAATATTTAAATAGTATCCTACGATCCATATTCAGGTATCATGTACCTATAAACAAGTCAAAGAAACTTTCTCAAAGTTCATAGCTGTTCCTTAGATGAAGCTGCTGTTTTTTAACCTACATACATATACACACATATCACGTCACTCAATAAGTCTCCGAGCTAACACATACATGGCAATACTGTTGACAGACATACATGATTTCTGGATAGTACGGACTATCAAAAGAAATGTGTCAAAATTTCGTGATATTCCGACCATTGCCTTACAACACTTACAGTTGTGTGAGTGAATGCAAGCTCTAAACCCGATAACGCTTAGCCATTCAAGCATGTAACCAATTAATTCTTAAGTTCAAGAACCTTTAGCATATTTACCTGTTAAAAGCTTACCCTCTTTACCCATCCTTTCACCATTACAACCAAACTTCTTAATCCTTTAACTCTTTTACCACTCTTTATCGTTAAATATTTAATACTTAAGCTGTCAACAATTAATTTCTTTTCTCTTTTTCGCCTCCTTATCGCTTTACTTTACTTTTGAGAGTAAGAAAACATAGTTGGTAGAAGAGAAAGAGAGAAGAGAGATTTATTACAATATTGAAATAAACGCGAGAAAATTGTGAAAAGCGGGCAAGACCTCTATACGTGAACTCGTACAGAGCCATAGAGTGAATTTCCGATAGCGTTGCCCGAAAGAAGTTCGGTAGTGCTGCCCACATCTTCAAGACAACTGCGCGGGAAGGCTAACGCATAGTTGAAGGGCAGATACTTATGCATAAACACAGTACAGCCCAAACGACGGTCATGCTCAGCACAGTGAACACATTTCTCTCATCCATGGGCTATTCCCGAGCTATTCCAGTACGCGGCTGAATATCGTTAACGCCATTCCATGATTGCTTGTTTCGACATATGTTCCGCCCGTACGTATATCTTACGTATATATGTTTCGCCCTAAGCATGTCATTTTCTTTTA